GCACACCCGAGCCAAGAGAGAAGAGGGGGAACAGGAAGAAGAAGGGGGAGCGCCGAAGCCGCGCGACGTCGCCGGTGTCGCCGGAGCGGAGGACGACGCCCCGATCAAGCACGTCGACGCTGCGCTACACTGCACTGCACTGCGCTGCTTCCGGAGCTACACGGCCGCAACCCGCCACTGTGTCACCATCCTATCTTCCACGACACCAAAGGTGAGCCCCGATTTTCCCCTGCTCGCCGCCGGACCTCGCTGTGTCGGCCATGGCGCTCCACACCGGGAGCACGTAGGCCAAGGCCGTCTCCGGCCTCTGGGTACACACGCACTCATGCGCACATCCACGACCACGCCGAGATCGCCCCATCAGCGCCCTGTAGTGCTCCTGCGTGCCTCACCGTCGCCACCATGCCGCTGTGGACACCGTGGAGCCCCTACCGGCCACATGAGAACCCGAGCCCTGCCTTGAGCCCTGGACACCCTCGCCGTGCTCCCACGGACCCACTGAAGCTCTTATCCGCCCAGCCGAGCCACCAAGGAGCCTACACGCGCGACTTTATCACCGGTGAGCACCGCCGAACCGCCGACCACCGTGGCCAACACCCTGGAAAGCCCTGGCAGCCACCTAGATCCCACCAACGTGTTCGCCGTGGCCTGGGGAAGCTTTCCCCCACCTTAATTGGGTGCCAGCGCCACCGTAGTTCCACACCGGTGAGCACATCACCGGTGGGAGCGCGCCGGGGACGGAAGCAGAGTCCTTCCCTCGCCGGCCGCACGCGCTTGCACTCGGTACACGTAGACCACAGAGAGAAGAAAGGAAGGGTGGACGCGGTTCACCGGAAGGAGACGTGGTCCACCATGGACCAGCGCGTCTTGGTCTACCGTGAGCCACGCTCATGCCCGCGAGCCATGGACCACGACCCAGTGGAGGCCCATGGCTACGACGTGGCAGCGCCGCAGCTTGCCACGTGTCCGAGCCGAGTCCAACCCAAATCCAGCCCTGACCAGGCCCAACCGGCCCAGTTCGGACCCGGTCCGTGTTGACCGTTGACCCGCTGTTGACTTGACGTTGACTTTGACCGGACCCACATGTCAGTGACCCAAGAGCCCCTGGATCCACCTGTCGGAACTGATGACGTTGATGACGTCATGCTGACGTCAGGTGGACCCCACCTGTCAGCTCGGAATCGAGATGATGACGTCATGCTGATGTCAGCATGCCACGTGGACCAGTCACAGCGTGACACGTGTCAGCCCAGGATTAATTTAGCCTTTTCTATTTTCAGAAATGATTTAAACTTTGAAAATTCATAACTAATTCATATGACCTTAGAAAAATACGAAACAAGGACCAAAATTCATCTAAAATCAAGCTCTACGCAATGAACCCATGTTTGAGTACATTTGGCTCTTTTGAATTTTCATTGCTTCTTTGTGCTATTCTATAGACGTCGCTAACGCGACTATAATGCGATCGTTTGCAGACTCAGAGGAGAACCGGACGGATGAGGATCGTTAGTACCGTGAGGAGTATGGAGACGACTACACTGAAGGTGCCACATCCCACCCAATTTTGTAGCACCTATTACGCATGGCTAATATAGAACTGTTAGTGCTTTACTTTATTATTATATTCACACTATGATAGGACTTGCATGGTAGTATACTTTCTTGATGGCCTTTACTTTGATGCAACCTTGCCTCTTCTCACCCTGCTGTTAGGCTAGTCACAGGCTTGCTACTATATTTCATTGCTTATTACTTCTAATACGCTTGCACTACATTGATGCGTGGTGGAAACTGGAGTTATCTGGACTATGGGAAGAGTGTTGCGTGTGTGACTTGGGTGCGTGGAGGGTGAGGGTTGTGTCGACCAAGTTGGAGTATACGATGAGCCTGGGGCAAGTCTTGTCGTGGGGTGCTACTTGGGCACCCCTGGAATGGATACCTGTGGTGGGTAAATGGTATATGAGGTGGCCCTAGGTGTGATCTTGTGATGGGAGGAGCCTAGGGTGGAGGTGCTGTGGTGGCACGGTAAATGAAAACCCTGATGAAGACACTCTGGCTTGGTCATCCGTAAGGACTTACTAGTACTCAGATTCACCGGGAAGCCTTACGTATCACTCGCCCTATATGGTGCGGGACGGCCGGACTACTTGGTAGGATATTGCCACTACTGCTAGATTGATAGCGGACAGTGTGAGGGAGGTACGGGGCGTAGAGGATTTCCCCCACATCCTTCCGAGACTTCATGGAGACCTTGTGGACCTGGCTCATGACTCACAATTTCAGCCACCCCAGACTAGACTTGGGGTGTACAAGGGCTGAATGGTAGAGTGGCATTATCCTAGGCTAGCAAGCGGCCGGAATCAGCCCAATTGACGACGGTCAGCGAGGAAGGTGGATCTTGTGGTTATGTAAAATCTCTACAGAGTGTATGGTTGATCGATCGATACATATGCCGACTTGTCGGCTATGGACCTTTCCTGGGTTTCGCTTAAACTAGATAGTGAGATGAGTCATTCTTTTCTCCCCCTAGGAGTGAGTGATCGGACGTAGCTAGGGGCTACGAGCCTTGAAACAGTGCCGAGAGGGAGTTGGCCTGTCGACTGAGTGATGGTATGGGTGTGGTATGGTGATGGTGTGGAGATGGTGGTGTATCCTGGCTCTGGAATGGGAATGGGGTGGAATGTGTGTGAGAATGGTGTTAAAACTTGACCAACTATTCTTATATACTTGATATGCTAAAATATAGGAAACCCCAACCTTATAGGTTCCTTTTGATTATATCCAACTTGCATCCAATTTCCACAAAGCAATGCTCATAGGGTGGGAGTAGCCAGTATAAATCGTACTGATAAATTTCGGCACACAGGTTCTGTTGTGGAGTATAGCTCCGAGGAGTTTGACGGTTGAGGGGTTCGTTCCTACGCTCGAGTTTGACGATCTTATCTTCAAGCTGTTCTGAATGAATGCTACTTTTAATTCCGTCAATGTGGTGATATAATAATTTATGTAATTTCGCACTATTTGTATTATGATATTATCGTTGTATGGATGTGATATTCGACTGGAATTTGGGTAATATAATCTACAACGGTCTTATTACACTTCGACTCTATGGATTTCCCTTCGCGAAAATCAGGTCGCTTCAATATCCTAGGGTGAAGGTGGTCAGTTGCTTTTAACTGATGACCATTGGGCTATGGTAGAAAAAGTGCTTAAATTTCTTGAACTATTTTATGATACTACAGTTGCATTGTCTGACGTGTTTTATCCTACATCTCCACTCATGATTCATTATCTTGTTAAGATTGCTATGCACCTAAAGAATTATGCTAATGATACTCACATCAGACATGTGGTTCAACCTATGATAGACAAATATAATAAATACTGGAGGGACATACCTTTGCTTTATTCTTTTGCATTCATCCTGGACCCCAGAGCTAAAATGAAATGTTTTAATAGAGTACTTAGGAGGTTGGGTACCATTACTAGTACAGATTATAGTGCTTATCAGGTTGGCACTAGAGCTTGACTTACTGATGTCTACAATAAGTATGAGGTGAAATATAGAGGTGTTAGGTTGAGGAGGACTGCCCCTCCTAACCTATCTGGTGAAAAAAGGTCTGCTTGGGATGAAATTTATATGATGATGATGATGATGTTGGTGGTCCTGGTGGTATGCATACTCCAGCTGCTACTCTAATCATGGCTAGAGATACATCTGCAATTATCCTGTTGCAGGCTGCAAGTTCTTCAGGTTTAAATGTTTCTGAACTTGTTTTTTACTTGGACTGTGACACTGTGAACCATTTAGATGATGATTTTAACATCTTGGGCTGGTGGAATCAACCTAAACTCACAAATCTAGTGCTGTCAATCATGGCTAAAGTTTTTTTAATTGTTCCTGTTTCAACCATATCTTCAGAATCCACTTTTAGTATGACTGGCAGGATCATCGAGGAGCGGCGGAGGAAGCTAAAGCCTGAAATGGTGGAGATGCTGACCTGCATCAAAGATTTAGAGGCTGCTGAAGCTCGGCTGCAACACATGGTGGAGGACAAGGAGTTTGAAGAAGCATTTGAAGAACTTTCTCTTGATTAGCTATCATTTATATAATGGGACTGTAATATTATGGACTATGGACTGAACTTTGATGAACTTTATAATTGGAGCTGGGCTGTACTCTTTTTTCTGTCTAGGGTTTCTCACAAAGGTGAGTTTTACCTAGACAGGTTTTTAATGAGGCAGCCATTGCACTAAAGCTCCCAATAAAATGTTATTTTATTATCTCTGCATGTGTATAAGACTTTGAGTTATTTTGTTATCTAATTCAATGAATATATCTAAGTTGCTTGTCATTCTCATTTTTTTTTAAATATGCTTGTTATTCTGAGTTGAATAAGGGGTTAGGCACATATAGTGCCCAGGCCGGCACGGGCACTGCAGTGCCGTCGTGCCCTGTGGCACGGCACGGCACGGCACGGCACCCCTAAGGGCTATTAGTGCCGGCACTTAGGCATGGCGGCACTACATGGCACGATAGGCCCGTGCCGCGTAGTGCCGTGCCCTAGGCGTGCTGTGCTTCATCGTGTCAGGCGGCCCGTTTGGCCACCTATACCTTGGGAGGTGGGGAGCACCCGGAATGATTGATCTGGTAGTTGGAAGCCAAGGTGTCAACGGATGATACTCCAGACAAAGTGGATAAGATTTTGTTATAGTGTGCTGGAAGCTGAAGCTCTAGTGTCATCATTGTAGGCATGGACCTTCCATGCACATTTTCTTCAATTCTAATCATATCTGCAACAGGTTCTGAAGCGTATGTTCGCTGTGTGTGTTCATGTTCAGAGCGGCTAGTCGGCTACTCATATCTTCAGAAATGTTTCAGTTGCAACTCGCAACTCAAAACAGTTGCAACGACTTTCCATTTAGTACATTCATTCATAAGGGATGGCACATGAAGAAGAGTGATAAATGTATGCAGGGATGGGCATTTCTTTCTACTCTGAGGAGCCAGATTTTTGCTCCTTTAAGTCGTCATCAGAGTCCGGTTTCTCCTCTGAATCCTCATCAAAGTCAGGTTTCTCCACTGAATCCTCACCAGAGTCAGATTTCTCAAGCTGAAGGATAACATTGAACCCAAATGCTGAACCTGGCGCGAATGCCGACTCCATTTCACCTTCGGACTGGGTTGTCTTGATCTCAGGTTTCACCTTCAGGTTTTCCTGATTCAGTAGCAAGTCAGTGTCATACCTACCAGGCTACCAAACATACACAATGACGATTTTTTGCCAAGTGTTATCTGAATTGGCATTCACCTTCTTGATAAATTCTTCAATGGTGATGCTCAATATTTCCTGAAGAACGAACTTGGTGACCCGGCTTTTGCCAAGCATCTGCAGCAGGATGCTGCTGGGTATCTGAAGAACAGCAACATCATAATCTGTGCTCAGTTGCTTCTGAGTTCTGAAGGAGTACAAAGTACAGACAGAAGGATTGTGCAGTGCAAGCTTGATATTGCACTTGTTGCCAGGCCGTATCACTGATTGATCTCAATTATTGGCCGACACTTTTGGTTGAAATCTAGTAGTTGCTAACAGTTGCGTGTACTCATGTTTGATCGAACCGAGTGTATTTTTTTTTCTTTAGGAAAAGGACAACACATATTAATAGAGCATGCCTTGGAAGATGATAAAACAGCTTTGAATAGTTTGCACTGGTGAAGCTTCAAGTGAATGAAAAGGAACCGTGTAATTACAAGGCTCATGGGCACTTATTGATCGAAAAAAGGTTCGTGTGCACTTACATTTGATGTTTTCCCTTCGAACATCCAGCAAATGTCCATGCAGAGGACGAAAAATAGTTAGAAGTTTGAATTATTTGAGGCAAACAAATACTAAAATATGTCTTGTAAGAAACGGTGAGTACCAATGTGAAGCAAGAAAGAATGTGATATTAAGAAGAGAGAGAGATTACGGTGTACAGTACTTATGATGATCAGTACCTCCTTTGGACTTCCTAAAACCAGGAACTGGCGGTGCATCACGAGCCAAGATCGTCAGAGCCTCATCAAACACCTTTTGTGTTGTCTTTCCAGGCAACTGCACTCGTACCTGTATACAGAGAATTAATTGACATGGCCAGATCAAATTAAAAGATTCAGTCTGCCACATCTGGACGGCTTTAACATGCCTCAGCTGAGTTGGCGAGCTCACATTGATCTTTTCGTCGTCGCGGGAAACGACGGACGTCTTGACGTTCTCCAGAGACAAGTCGCTCTTCCTATCTGCCTCAGCGACCGATGAGCCCCGACCTGCACGCATTTCCTGAAGACGTTAGCAATATCTGAAACTCTGAACAGAAGGGCGGCATGCTAGCCTCTGAACATCATGGAACCGAGCAGAACTGTTGGACATAGTTGAAGAGCTCGCAATTTACCTGTTCCAACCGCAGACACCGGCAGGAATGTGTGCCTCCATCTTCTTCCTCCAGCTGAAAGAAACAACCTGTGAAGGCAAACATGGAAACCGAAGACTGAAAATCTGAAGATGACAGGCAACAAAGGAGCAGCGTCCAGTTTGTTTACCCGTGGATATGCGTCGGGCACTTGCAGGCACCGCATGCTTTGATGTGCGCATGAACTTGATCGGTCATCTGAGGGTTGAGGGTATTGGAACGAATCAACAGGGCAACTGATGAACTGAACTTTCAGGAGAGGAGAGAGTGCAAGAATGGGACGGACCTGGAAGTAGCTGTTGCATCTTGGCCTCAACTGAAGCTTGGGGAGGGTTGCAGCCGAGGCCATGGAGGTGACTCCGGCAGTCCTGCTGCGCTGCCCGGTGCCCGTCCAGTTCCAGCCGGCCGCAGTTGGGGAGGCCGCAGAGCTCAGGGAGAGGTCAGAAAAATTGGAGCCATAAAATCGCATCCAAAATTATCTGCAACTGCACTACTGCAGCAAGGGGAGGGAAGGAGCCCTTTGTTCGTGGGCTCTTGCTTGGGCCATGTTCTCTGATTAAAATGGGCTGTCGACGGCTCAACGCACTGGTTGCTGGGCTATATTCCAGATCTTGATGCATCTCCTCGCTGGTGCACTTCACTTTTGTTTTTTTCTTCTTTATTACCACGTTTTTAATCGTGCGTTGCAGTGAAAGCCACGTAAATTTAAACAAAATATCTGTTATCTTAGGAGCATTCTCTCTAAGTCAAAATGTAAACATGGGAGTTCATGTACAAGACAGTGCTCACTTGTCTTCCTTCACTTTCGTCAGTAACACCAAATCAAGGTACGCGGCACAGTTGTTTCACTACGGAGACGTGCTCTTTGTCGAGTGCTCGGCGCTTTGTCGAGTGTCGAAACACGGGCACTCGGCAAAGAGGCAGTTTGTCGAGTGCCGCACTCGGCAAAGCCGGCCCTCGTCAAAGGTCGTCTTTGCCGAGTGTCAAACACTCGGCAAAGAATAACCATCGGCAAACGTCCTATTTACCGAGTGTCAGACACTCGGCAAAGAATAACCCTCGGCAAAATACCTCAGCCGACGTCGGTGGCCCCTCCGTCATCCTTTGCAGAGTGCTGGATGTTAGCACTCGACAAACGTGTTGTCTTTGCCAAGTGCTACAAGCCTGGCACTCGGCAAAGAGGTTTTTCTTAGAGTGCCAATTAGATACTTTCGGCAAAAAGTATTTTTATTTTTTTTATTTTTGTTTTCAAATTTTTTTGTGGCATTTATACAGTAACTTGAAGCACATGTTCCAATTTGAAACTTTTCTATGACTTTTTGGTATATTTTTTCAATTTTTATGTTTACTTGAATTTTCTCGAAAAAATTTTCTCATGAAAAGTAAATTTGATTCAAAAATGGTATTCATGTTTGAGTGCATTTTGAATATTAGAATTTGAAGCGATTCACGAAAAAAAAAAGTGGTAAGCGAAGTCAAAAATGTTTTTAGTGTATTTTGAGGCCATGTAGAGGCTGTGATAAAAATTTAGAAGTTCACGAGCAAGTTGGACATTCGTGAAATTTCGAACATACTGCAATTTTTTTCACTTCTGAAACATGACCACCAACTTGTTAAAAAAGTATTTTTTTTATATAAAAATGCAAACGAAGTCCAAAAAATCACGAAACTTGTCGAGGTGTCGATTAAAAGTCATTGAATATCTTTGTCGAGTGCCCGTGATAAAAATTTAGAAGTAATTAACCCTGAGCAAGTTCCCACTCTCTCACTCCCACGATGCTAGAGGCGAACCTTTGTTGCCTCGACGACCACGTCGACCGACCCTGCCCCCCCTCGCCGGAATAAACCCAGCCCCGACCCGGCCCGTTCTGCCTGTGACAGCCTGACCCGCCTCGGCTCACCGATCTCGGCCCCACCCGGCCCCGCTCCACCCCGGTGGTGCCTGCCCATTGCTCCCGTCCCTAACCCGCCAGAGTGGAGGAGAGGAGGAGCAGGGGATCCAGTAGAGGAGAGAAGGGAGGTGGAGGAGAGGAGAAGGGAGAAGGAAGAAGGAGAAGGGAGGAGGAAGAAGAAGGGAGGAGGAGGAGCCTCGACCGTCGGCCACGCCCCTCGCCGTTCGTCCCCGCTGTCGTCCCCGCCCCTCGCTAGAGACGAAGGTGACCCCGGCACCACGTCGCCCGACTCCACCGCCACCCAAGGTATAAAGCCCCCTAGTTGTCGGCCTTCGTGCCGTATGTGGATGTGTGGGCCTTCATGCCGTACATGGATGTGTGGGCCTTCGTGCCATATATATGCTGTCGGCCATCGTGCCGGCTTTTTTCTTGTAGGTTTTGGAAACCTCCCCGTATAGGGGAGGTTCTGCCAAATTTTTTAACTTATAGTATTATAATTCTTCTTTTGCAGAGCAGGACCAATCATAGGGGACCCGGAGTACATAGGCGACCTCGATCGTCTTCGTCGGCGCTGCGGTCCTGCCTGCACAGCGTCGCCTCGCCACTGCCCCGCTAGCCTGACTCCACCGCCACCTTAGGTATAAATAACCTCTCTTCCTTATCGTTGTCGTAGTTCGGTGTAACCCAGTTAGGCGTCTCCCATTTGAAACAGGTACGGTTGGAGGTATGCAGATCTTCGCATATCTAAGACCGTATCTGTTTCAGATTGTCCACTTTTTTGGATAGCCCACGGATGCATAGATGGGATAGTTTTCATGTTCTGCTTCGATCCGAGATAGAGTTTCGGCACCACCTCCCTGTTGTTCTCCGGATACACACTCTCCCTTCCAGGACGTGTATCGGGAGAACAATGGGGAGGTGCTACCGAAATTCTGTCTCGAATCAGAGTAGAGCATGTAAACTAACCTTATCTACGCATCCGTGGGTGGGATTAGGACCTATCCTCACCCATTAGACAGTAGGCATGCCATTCAGATACAATTGGTGGTTATATTACTCGCTCATATATATGCTAGAGGATGGATAACCGTGAGTGGATGTACATGGGCCGCCCAAGTTAGGCTAAAATCACCCCTGAATGGATGGACAAGACCGAGGGTTTCTTGAACCAATCATTTGGCAAGGCAGCTAATGGAGCGAGAGACACATTCTGTCCATGTAGCGAATGCAGAAATAGGAAAAGAAAAATAAGGAAGATCATGGGGGAACATCTTTGCAAGTATGGATTTACGCCAAACTATACCCGGTGGGTGTTCCATGGTGAAGCCCATCGTACTAGAGAGGAGGTGGTGAGACCACGCTTGGAGGCGTTTGATGCTGATGGCGAGGTAGCAGGATGGTTAGGTGACTTTCATGAAGCAACGTTCCCTGAAAGACCTACGAAGGAGGAGGAGGAGAAGGAGGAGGAGGAGGAGCCAGAGCCAACCGAAAAGGCGTTCTACCAAATGTTGTCTTCGGCACAAAAGCTCCTACATGAGAAGGCAACGGTTTCTCAACTGGATGCCATTGGACGCCTAATGGGGTTGAAGTCCCAGTACAACATGAGTCGAGCCTGCTTCGATGGTATGTTGGCAGTTATTGGTGGACTGCTTCTGGAGGGTCATATTCTGCCGAGCAGCTTCTACGAGTCACAGAGACTCCTTCGTGCACTTAAGATGCCGTATGAGCAGATACATTGTTGTCTGAAGGGGTGCGTCCTATTTAGGAAAGATCACAAGGATACAAAGTATTGTCCAAAGTGTAAATCCTCTAGGTATGTGGAGTTAGACAAAGGTGATGGCCAGAAGGAGTAGCTTGAGATCCCCATGAAAGTCCTAGGGCACCTTCCGATCATACCGAGGCTCCAACGGCTATTCATAACCAAAGAGTCCGTGAAATAGATGACATGGCACAAGCATGGCATTCGATATAATCCTGACAAGATGGTACATCCAGCTGATGGTGAAGCATGGAAAAGCTTTAATCGCAAGCATCATGACAAAGATCTTGAGGCCCATAATGTACGTGTTGCGCTGGCAACGGTTGGGTTCAATCCTTATGGAATGATGTCGGCCCCATACACTTGTTGGCCCGTGTTCGCTATCCCCCTCAATCTCCCCCCCAGGGTCCTCCTTCAACGGCAAAACATATTCTTGACGTTGATAATTCCTGGACACCCAGGAAACAAAATGGGTGTATACATGGAGCCTGTTTATGATGAATTGATCAGTGCTTGGAATGAAGGGGTATGGACTTATGACCGAGCTACAAAGAAAAACTTCAAAATGTATGTTTGGTACCAGTACTCCATGCATGACTTCCTAGCATATGGGATATTCAGCGTCTGGTGTGTCCACGGGAAGTTCCCATGCCCGGTATGCAAGACAACTTTGGAGTTCATTTGGTTGAAGAAGGGTGGCAAGTTTTCATCGTTCGAAAAGCATCGACAGTTCCTCCCTCTTAACCATGCATTCAGACAAGACACCAAGAACTTCACGAAAGGTGTCAAGGTGACCGACCCTAAACCTCAGAAGATGACTTGTGCCCAAGTTCATACTCAGATAGATGCTCTCGTGGTCAATCCACAGAAAGATAGTCGAAAGAAAGATAATCCAAAGAAAGATTGCTTTGTGGGATATGGTGTTGAACATATGTTGACTCATAAGTCGGGCTTGGAGAGGCTTCCCTATTTTGATGACCTTCTCCTTCCACATAATATAGATGTAATGGACACTGAGAAGAATGTCGCCGAAGCACTTTGGGCAACACTCATGGACATTCCTGACAAGACAAAGGACAACCCTAAGGCCAGAGTGGACCTGGCAACGCTATGCGATAGATCAAAGCTAGAGATGCTGCCTCCAAGAGACGACAAGCCATGGAAAAGGCCTAATGCCGATTACGTCTTAGAAAAGAAGCACAGGACGGAAGTGATACAATGGATGCAGACGTTAAAGTTCCCGGATGGGTATGCAGCGAATTTGAGGAGGGGAGCGAACCCAGAGACTGGTCGAGTCTTAGGGATGAAGAGTCATGACTACCACATATGGATTGAGTGGCTTCTTCCGTCGATGGTTCGAAGCTACGTCCCTAAGAATGTCTGGAAGGTGCTGGCAGAGTTGAGCTTTTTCTTCCGCCAGCTTTGTGCCAAGGAGGTATCTGTGAAAGTGGTTGAGGAGTTGGAAAAAGCGGCACCTCTATTGCTCTGTAAGTTGGAGAAGATCTTTCCACCTGGCTTTTTTCTTGTCGATGCAACATTTGATTTTGCACCTCCCGTCCGAGGCACGAATGGGGGGGCCCGTGCAGAACCGTTGGTGCTATCCAATCGAGAGATGTTTAAAGACTATTTGCAAGAAATGTGAAAACAAAGGCAGGATTGAGGCTTCCATTGCTGAGGCATTCATTCATGAGGTGGTGT